TATATATATATTATTTTTATTATTTTTTTTTTGTAATTTTCTGAATTTGCACTTTTTCCATGTGTCATGGTATAAATAAATGTTTAGTATTTTATCATGTATTGTGGTCTTGTGATCATTATCATCTGTGTTCATCAGGTTACCTCAGAAACAAGAGAACTATTAAAATCACCGCTTAAAACTTTTCTTCAGTTATTTTGGTAAAACTTTGGTTTTCCATGTAACAAATAAGTAAAGGCAGTTTTTGTTTGTGGTAGACATAAGATGTTTAACATTATTTCTTCTGGTAGCCATTGTGCCAGTCTATTATTGCTTGTGCTTCTAATTCACATTGTTTTTCATTACTTGTCTTTGTATCTATTGTAGTATACATTTTTCATGTGAGCACTTTGGTTTACATAATAAACTTGTCACTGTTGCGCTTCCAAATAGATGTTAGCTGGATATCTGTCTGTTTGCTAACCAAACATTTTCCTTTTTGTTTGGGTGGCTCAGCCACAAGGGCTTTCTCCGTCATTTGCAATTTCAAAGCCTGCAACAAATCTGTAGCTTTTACATTGATTGTTTTCTTTGAAAGAGAAGAAACGGTCAGTTTAATTCCATAAAACTGATGCATGTGGAAATCCCAGGTGAAAGCAAGTGAGAGTGCAAACACTTGAGAAGGGAAGGGGTAGTGTTCTATGTTCATATGCATGAGAGAGTGAGCAGGAAAGCATTTGGAAGCTGACCTTGATGGAAAACAGAGCTTGCCTGGAACATAGTGCTTCTGACTCAGTTAGCTCCCTCCTCAGACAAATCAGGGACGCACTGACAGACATTACTGGACGTGTAAATAGGGCATGTCCATGATACAGTGCCACACACCTTCCATCCCACTGCACCCTTACTACTTTTCTGTACAATGATGCCGTTTGTTCTGGTTTAATTAGCATGAATGTTGCTCTTGTTTGGAACCACAAGAGAGGGCTCAGTGGCTCCTGTTCCCTGCCTCACTTTAGTGGGCAGTGAACCAGGCAGTGATTATTACAACTGCAAATCAGTTTTATTCTTTGTTCAAAATAAACAATCACTTCAATTCTGATGCCTGCAACACAATCCAAAAAATGTTGGGACAGTAAAGCATTTACCACGGTGTGATGTTGCCGTTCCTTTTCACAACACTTAAAAGACGTTTAGGGACTGAGGACACCAAGTGATTAAATGTCTCAGGTGTAATTTTGTCCCATTCCTCCTGCAAACAAGTCTTAAGGTGCACAACAGTCCTGGGTCTTTGTTGACACATTTTGTGTTTCACAATGTGCCACACATTCTGTACTGAGGACAGGTTGGGGCTGCAGGCCAGTCCAGCCCTCACAGCCTTTTCCTCCACAGCCAGGCCTTGGTAATGTGCAGTATGAGGTTTTGCATTGTCTTGTTGAAATATGCATGGGTGTCCCTGGACAAGATGTCTTGAAGGCAGCACACGTTGTTCCAAAATCCCTGTGTACTTTTCAGCATTAATGGAGCATCATAGAAGTGTAAGTGACCTTCACCAAGGGCACTGACACAACCCCAGACCGTAACACACCCTGGCTTTTGGACTTGTTGCTGGTAACAGTCTGGATGGTCCTTTTCGTCACTGGCCCAGAGCACATGGCGAGCCTTCCTTCCAAAAAAAGATCTGAAATACCGATTTGTCTGACATCAGTACATGTTTCCATTGTGTGACGGTCGATCCCAGAGCAGTCGACTGCACCTTTGGACACTATTGACATTGGGCTTCCTTTTGGCACAGTACAGTTTGAAGCAGCATTTATGGATGTAACTACATATTATAGTGCCTGACACAGATGTGCCAAAGTAATCCTGAGCCCGTGTGTTTATATCACTTATAGAAGAGTGATGATTCTTGACGCAGTGCTGTCTGAGGGATCGGAGAACACGATCATCCAGCTTAGGCTTGTGCCCTTGTTCTTTACGCACTGAAATCTTTTAATGATGTTATGCACCATAGAGGGTGACATATCCACATCCCTTCCTATCTTTCTATAAGAAACAATATTTTAAAGTATTTCAATCATTTTCTCTGCCTCTCTGCTTCACATCTACATTCGCTTGTGTTCCAAGTACCTCATACAGCTGTGATAACCTTTTGTAGTTTATTTTCAGGTTGTTGATTACATCAGCACCACAGTACTACTCCAAGTCTTTATAATGTGCTAAAATATAATCTGGCCAAGAAGAGCATCTGTGTGTGAACGGTTCCCTTTTCCTTTAAACTTGCTGAATTTTAGTTATCTAACCATTTCATATGAAATGTAATTTAGTTTGCATGGTTCTGATAAAGCAGCGGTAGCCAGCAACCGAGCTGTGATTGTTTTCTTCCTTTGCAATCAAAAAAGACCTCTGCCAAATGAAGGCAATTAACTTCCGTGTCCGATGACACACTGACTGCACTGTCAGGTTTATATAACAGATTCAAAGATACTGTAGAGATGAGTCAAGGTGCATGTCCTTAATAAACACCAGCAGCCTTGTTATTTGAGAGATCTGTTTACGTTTCTGTTCCTTTATTTTCTTTGACATCTGGGTTAGAAAGCAGCCGCATTACCACTATGCTGACGCTGGCCATTATTGAGCTGTTTGACTTCAGCATCCTTGAGGAGCTCTCAGATACAGTAGGTTGAGGTTTGCTTTTATCAGTAAATGCAGGCAACTTTCAAGTGCTATATACAGTTCTACCTGCTTTAGTCTGCTATTGGTAACTCTAATGAATGTTAAGTTGCAAAGGATGCCAAATGAAAGACTGTAGCAGATTGCTTTGACTTTTATCTTTAAAGGTGCAAGAGCAGTTTAATAGAGCGAGACACAGAATATGATGGCAGGCTGTTTGGGATTAAACACATTACTGCTGCAAGAATTTAAAAAAAAGTATTGAATTGGACCGACAGACTAAATTATAGTGATTACTATATCAAAGCTTTTTTGGGACTTAACAGTGACAGGAACCTATTCGTGGAGCAAGGCATGTGGTTAAAAGCCTTTTTTTTTTTTTTTTTTTTTATTTTGCATCTGCGGCTTTCTATCACAACAGCTGTGAAAGATAAACTGACAGAACCTGTAGCTTGTTGTAGTTATCAGAGCACAATGATTGTGTTTATTTGTCTAAGAATTTGTATTGATGAAAAATGTACTGTCATCTTAGTGTCAAAACTCAATAAGTCACTTCTCTCTTGGTTAGCTTTGATTAAATTGACATACGAGATGGGTGAGTGGCAATTTATATAATTGATCCCAAGGTAAGAGGAGCATGCCGTCAGCGGGGCTATCGCAACACAGGCATATTAAAATGATTTATCACAAGCTGACAGATGCTGGATTCCAACAAATAAACAACAGGTCCATGATATAGTGAACTCAATCTCTCTCACACACACACACACACACACTTTTCAATATAGATACACACCTTTATCTAAGGCGTCTAGTAGCATAAAATAACATGATGTGATACCGTAGGTATACACAACTAAAATACATTATGTGGAGAAGAAGGCTGTCAAACAGAGTGTAGACACCTATATGCATGGAAATCTCTTTAATATTCAGATGTCTTTGTGTGGTTTTGAAAAGATAATCCAATTAATTTCCTTTATCAGTAGACGGTGTCATGTTCAGAGATTCCTGGGGAGTTAGAAACAAAATTACTCTTGTAACAAGAAAGGTACTGTCTCTCTCAAGAAGAAATTTGCATAAATACACTGGAGGATCCTTCATACTGATGTGATGAAATTATGCAGTTACACCAGATAACAAAAAACAAAGACCACCAGAGATGTTAGTCTGCGATTTAGCACAAATGACCTTTTGTGCTAAATCGCATTTGTGTTTATGCTAAAGGGGAACAGTAAAAGGTTAGGTT